TATAAATTCTATTTCCATCTCCATAGAATTTTTCTTTACACCAAGTGGGAACTATTTTAGATAATGACTCAATTTTAATCGAAATATTTTTCATTTGTCCAATAAATCCCCAATCTACTGCGATAGTATTTATTTTAAATAAATCAACACTTTTTTTATTTATTATTTCATTAGAAACAATAATGATTGATGGTTCTCTCATAACTTTAATATAAAATATTAAATCATTTTTTATTTGTTTATATTGTTTTGTTTCATCAAGAGATATTTCATCTAATTTATTCATAATTCCTTTATAATAATATTGAATATTAATAATACGTTCTCCAAATGGATTATCTAAGTTAAATTTAATTTCACTTTTCTTATAAATTTTTAATTTTTGTTCTTTATCTTTTCTATTCTTTTGTTTACATGTAAGAAGAATATTAGTGTTATTAATAAAACTCCATTCATTTTCTTCATTTATGTCAATTATTAATACTCCTTTTTCTATTCGAGTATGAATTGTTTTAGTGCTTCCAATAATTGGTATTGTTGCGGGATAATTAAATATATCATCGATATCAAATGACCTACTCCAACAAAGTCCCATTGAATTCTTTCCTCCAAGAATACCAAATTTTAAAATTTTTGGTTGAGTATGTTCAAGTTTTTGAATAACAATTGTTTCATTAATATTAATATATTCTTGATAATTATTAGACCATACAGTTAATACCATCTCACTAGAATTACGTATTTGATATGATGAATTAATCATAATTTCTTTTGTTTTAATACTTAGTTCATTATCTTCAAACCATGTTGTAATTGATGTAGAAAAGAAATATTCATAATTATTAGACACTAACTTAATTTGTTGATCTAATTTTTCATATGATTCATTATCTATTCCAATATAAATATCACTAATATCATTAATTATAATTTCTCTCAAAAATCTAATATTTGGTGTATTAAATAAATAATTCTTATGTGGATAATAATTTAACCATAACCCACTATAATTACTTAATACAAAATTACAATAAAAACAAATACAATTTGCATGTTTTAAAAGATGAATAACAGTATCATTAACTTGAATATATTCATCTTTTGTCATTGATATATTTGTGATTTCAACTTCATTTATATTAACAGAAAGTGTATAAATAAATCCAGAATGTGGAAATAATGTAAAATCAGTTTTTGGTTTAATAACAATATTTATTGGTGTTTCATTTATTGATTTAAGAATAATAGGATAAGGAAGTGCATTTTTTATTGTTTTCATTGATTTAATTAATAATAGAGGAATTGGTTCATTAGAATTAACAATTTGTAAAGAATGAGCAATATCATGATATGATGAAGTTATTGATCGTAAACAAGGAAGAAGGAATTTAAATGATGAAACATCGTATTGAAATGATAGTGATTGATTTAATAAAATGTCATCAAGTCCAATAGTTTGATTTGGTTGTAATGTAAAAGAAATAGAAGAAAATGATAGTGTTAATGGTACTGTTAATAAATTTTGAATAATTGAAGATGAATATAAAATAAGTGTATGAAAAGAATAATAGAAATGTAATGGAATATCTTTAAAATGATAATATGGATTAAATGGTGGAAAAAAGAATGTATATTTTTGAGTATAAATAATAAATGAAATTTCATTGACTTTATTTAATTTAATTATACTATTAGGTTTAAAATCAATACAATGATCATTTTGAAGAATTTTCATTGGAATAGAAGATAGATTTTTAAATGTATAAGTTTCTTGAAGAAAATATGAAAGTATATTTTTTAATTTCTGTAATAAAGAATCAAATAATTGAGGTGGAATAGATATAAATATTGATTCTATTATTATATATAAAGGTATAAGAGTTATTACTATATTTCTTAATGTAATATTTTTATTTTGATAATTAACTTTAAAAGAATCTATTGTTATTTCTTTTACAGTTTCTTTAAAATGATGAAAAACAATTATAATATCATAAATATTTGATTCTCTTTTATTAGATGTATTCCAATCAGTTAATATTATTGTAGTTTTTATAAATTCTAGATTTAAATGTTTTAAAAATGTTTTAATCTTAATCCATAAAGAGTTATTATAAAAAAATAATATACCGTTTTTCTTTAATGGAAGTGAATTTATTTGTGTTGAATAATTATATGGAATAAGAAACTCTTTAATATTTTCTTTTGATTTATTATTAAATGAATTATATTTAGATTGATATTCTTTAGATAACATAAAATAAATATTATTTGTAAATTCTAGATAACTATAAGCTATTTGATATAACGTATAACTATTAATCATTAAATTAATTGTATTTATATTACAATGAATGATAATATTATTAGTTATATTTAATTCTATTTGATTTAATTTGATTAATTCTATTTTATTTGATTTAATTACAAATGAAAGAGAACATGAATTAATTAATGAATTGATATTTAAGTCAGACTTTTTTTCATTAAATAAAATTTTATACATTTCAAATTCATATTCAACTTTAGATATTGAACATATTTTTAATTTTAATATAATTGAATTAATAAAACCCATAACTTTTGTTGAAATATTATGAGTAAATTCATTTTTAAAAACTTTTATTGGAATAAAATCAATAATAATATTAATAAAAGATGAAATAATACTTTTTATTTCTAATTGTAATATTTTTAAAAGAATAATATTGTTATAAAAATCTATAATACAAACTTCTTCATTTGTATTATTTTTTAATAAAATACTATTTTCTATTGGAATTAATAAATCTTGTGAGTGTAAATCAATTTTTTGAAGATAAATGTGAAGAGAAGAATTATAAAGAAATTTAATTGAACAAAAATCAATTTTTGATCTATTCATTAATACACTTGCTTTATCCATTATTATAATATATAAATTATTTTCAATTTCATATTTAATATCTTTTCCTTGAATAAATAATTCAACATTTTGATAATAACATTTAACACTTTGATGTTGAACAATTCCTTTTATATTAAAAATATCAAATGTAATATTACAGTGTTTTTCATGAAAACTTATTTTATTTATATTTAAATTAATTTGATCTAATGAACAATAAATTTCTTTAATAATTTGATACTTAATAATAAATTGAATAAACAAATTAGTAACCTTATCTATCATTAAGTTCCACCA